CTCTCCCTCCTCCTCCTCCTCCTCTTGCTCTCCCACTCTCCCTCCTCCTCCTCCTCCTCCTCCTCCTCCTCCTCCTCCTCTTGCTCTCCCACTCTTCGTCCTTTACTAATGTTTTGACGAAGATGACTCTTGAACTTCTTTGCTGTTTCCTTTCGTTTGTTTTTTTTTTGTGCTTTTTCCTTTCTTTCTGCTCCTCATGCTATACTTCTCCTACTTCCACCCTATTTTGAGAAAGAGCATCCAGACTTTCGCGCTTCCTTCGGATCCTCCCATCCTTCTGCAAATGACTAATCAGCGGCTATTGTAACAACTGTAATTAAATTATTATGTCTAGAATCTTAGATCCAAAATTTAAAACTTATCGTCTTTCATTGGCTCCTTTCCTTAACTGTTTTTTTTTTTTTTTTTTTTTTCACGTTTACCATTCTGACAAGTTCTGTTGCAGCTTTGTTTTTCTTCTTTTGTTGTCATGTTTACCATCCTTGTGCAGTTGCGTCATTGTTTTGTAATTCTTCGATTTTGAATAATTACAAATTACAATTGCCACGAACACGACGACAAGAAGGAGAAAGGGAGAACGGAGGACGTGCCGAGCATGGATGGTATGGAAAATATTGAGGTGCTCGACTTTCGCACAGCCTTTCAGGGGAGCGTATTTGAGAAATATCACATTGTTCCGCTGCAGGTCGCTTCTCTAGACACCACGTATCTAAGTCAAAGGTGCGAGGACTTCATCGAGAATGGCATTGCCACACATTTGTCAAGCATGCTCTTGAGTTCTTCGAGAAGTATACGGACGACCTGGTTCGCGACGTTTGCGAGCAGAGTAGTATGCCATGGGTAGAAGACCCTGATGATGTTCCGTTCTTGTGGGAGGACGTTCTGGAACCCTCAGAGTTATGGGAGGGCTTGCGCCACTTCCTCATTCAGAACCATACTTCAGAGCTGCTGGAGAGTTGTTTCGCTCGTTGCGGAATGAACTTGAGACGTGAGAGTGATAATGATATTGTCAGGAGACTCTATGGCTATGGCAAACAGTTGCACGAACCCACTTATGGTTATGACGAGGTATGGTGTATTCTCACGATTCTACACCAGATCGATTTCGATCTCGTTGGCTTGGATGCTCGGCCTTTCCCTCTGCGAATGTTGTTGTTGGAGGACAAGCCAAAAGACCATCACAGAGTGTATTGGTTCGCTGAGGTAAGGGATCGGGAAACTGGAGCCCTGGTTGCAGATGCCATCAAGTTAACTGAAGGTGGGGCCTTCCACTGGAGTCTTCAAACGGAAAAAATGTTCAATGGACCTTTTTTCTACCACGGCCATACTAGTAGGGCACTGCATTCGGAACTCACTCCTGAACAGTTGAAATCTCTGAAAGCCTCGTTCTGCCGTCGTAACTCCATCGTCTATTCTACCCATTCAGAGTTTGAATGTGTGATTTCCCTCGCTGCTAACTTGGCGCTGGTGTGAGGACGACAGATGGTTCTACGAAGTTGTGGATGAGTACCGCCTTCGACCATCTTTGCTGAAAGATGTGATGGATTTCCAATGCAAACACTTTAGACGAATCCTCAAGGGCACAATTTGGCAGAATCTACCGCAGGACTTGGTCATACGCATCGTCCAGTTACTGCCACGGCGATGTACTATAAGTCCGACTTGGTAAGGAATTGTGCAAGATGTCGACAGAGTGGTTGCCTCTTCGTCTTCTTCGTCTTCCTCTGAGATGCTGCTGTCAGGGTGGTATGCATACTAGTACCTCAGAGTTCCCAATGAAACTGTGCCTCCAGGCCCTGCACAAGACAGCTGCTAAGGTTCTGCGCAAGGCGCCTACAGTGCGGTTTGCCCCTTCTTCTTTTTCCTCTGAGCTGCTGTTGTCAGGGTGGCTTGTATACAAGGCCAGTGTTCCTAATGGTACTATGTCTGCACAAGATAGGTAAGGATTTTTGTAAGACGCCCACAGTGCGGTTGCGTCTTCTTCTTCTTCCTCTCAGAGGCTGTATTTTTGTAAGACGCCCACAGTGCGGTTGCGTCTTCTTCTTCTTCCTCTCAGAGGCTGTTGTCGGCATCGCGAACTGGGTGTCTGCATGATCCATCACAGTGACTGTGTTCATTTTTCTCTTCAACTTTCCTTTTCTGTTGTTACTGGGCCAAGCGTCAGACTTTTCGTTTGTTTTTTTCTTGTTGTCAAGCGTCAGTCATTACTGTTCATGATTTCCCTATTTCAATACCCATACACTTGCATGGAACCGCAATCAGTGCATTTTAATCGAGTCGCAAATCTTCCAATAAAGTGTGGGGATAAATCGCGGTCGTGCAGGATGCATCTACCAGAAAAAAACCACAGCCTCTGTGATTCTGCGATCTCAGCCTGAAGCGAGAAGAACAGGATAGGTTTCTTTAATGTAGCAAGTGGATGTGACCGTCATGAAGTTACCGTCTTTTGTGGAAGGTGTTTTCAGTTTGACATGTTGTCAGATTGTGATTCACTGACATGCAATGACCTGACCTGTGTCTGAAGGTTCATTGCAAAGACAAAAAGTTGAAAAACTGCTTGCCAGAGAAGACTGTCACATATAAATTTTTCTGGAATTTCAAATTTGTGTATATTGGTCCTAAGCTTGGCTTCAGTTGTAGCTATCAGGTTTGTAACTGTCTGATCTTTTCTATTGACAACAACGGATAAGTCGAGGACTCCTCTGAAAGTTGTGCGGACGGGGACTTATCTGCAAATATCATCTGTTATCAAGGAGTTGCCTGCAATTGTCTTAGGCCTGTAGGACAATTGGTAGTGTCAGACTGCCAGATACAGACTCTATTACAGAGTACCAGGCCCAATAGAAACTTCTATTGGGGCCGAACGCACCGAAGAATCTTCTATAGGCCTGGCCCACCTGGGCCATGGCGGACACCAGTACCTGGCCTCGACAACCAACAGCTGGAAGAATGGCCCAGTGGGCATCGAACTCCAATTTATAAAGATGAGCTTTTTGTGGGAGGGCAGAGGCCTCCAGGCTGCTGGACTGGCAGTCGAGTCCCCTGGTGCTGAAGAGCAAGTGACTCCCTGAGAGAGAGAGAGAGAGAGAGAGAGAGAGAGAGAGAGAGAGAGAGAGA